ATATTAGAGATTCTTGGAAACTTTGCTTCATGAATTGGATTGACAGTGATCAGAAAAGGAATTTGATTTTAGTATGTTTTCTGCTCTCCATGCTTCACTTATAAATAAATTATGATCCATATAAAGACATGGAGAAGATGATTGGTATGAAATCAGATGTAGTTAGTTATGACTTCCCTGCGTTTTAGATGCAACTCTGATTTCTTGTGAACTCTTAAGTGTGCATTTTGGTAGTGTTCAGTTTGGGATTTTGGCCCAGTGTCAATATATTCTCACTGATACATGACTGAGAAGTTTAGAAGAACTCTGGGTATCCATACTTTGAGAGGATATCTTTATATATTTTTGAGTACACCAGTCATCATTCAGTTTAAGGTAGCATAAGCTCTCAGAGACAGTATCACTCACCATGTCAAGGGGTAAGGTTTGTACTATTCTGCACTCATTTTTATGATATGATTTGGTATTAGCAATTTTTTTTCTATTTTATGAAAGTTCTTATTATGGAAAATTTCAGTCTCCTTTTGTGAGAAGCATAATACTATAATGAACTTTCCATATAACCATTGCCCAGCTACAGCAGCTATCAAGTTATGGCTAATCTTTCATTTCTCCACCCCGTATTTCCTTCCCATTTTATTTTCAAGTTATGTAGACATCATTCCATCTGTAAATATTTCAGAATGCATTTCTAAAAGATACGGGCTTGCTTTTTCTTCTTAAAATTTTTATCATTGAAGTATAGTTGACATAGAATGTTTTATTAGTTTCAGGTGTACAACATAGTGATTTGACCATTCTGTGTATGATGCAGTGGTCACCATGATAAGTGTAATTACTACCTGTCACCATACAGTGTTAGTACAGTATTACTGACTATATTCCCTAAGCTGTATTTTTTTATCCTTGTGACTAATTTAGTTTGTAACTGGAAGTTTGTACCCCTTAATCCCCTTTACTTATTTTGCTCACCCACCCCTTCAACCCCTCCCCCTGCCCCTTTGGCAGCCACCACTTTATTCCCTGTATTTATGAATCGCTTTCTGTCTTCTTTGTTTTGTTTTTTAGGTTTCACATAAATGAAATCATATGGTATTTGTCTTTCTCCATCTAACTTATTTTACTTAGCATAATACACTGTAAATCAATCCATGTTGTATGGATGTCCATCCATTTGCTATACAGATAGAAAGATTTCAGTTTTCTTTATGGCTGAATAATATTCCAATATATATGTGTGTGTGTGTGCACGTGCACACGCCGTGTGTGTGTGTGTGTATCTCCTTTATCCATTTATCTATCAATGGACAATTTAGGTTTCTTCTGTATCTTAGCTATTTTATTTTATTTTATGTATTTATTTATTTATTTTTAAAGATTTTATTTATTTGACAGAGAGAGAGACAGAGAGGGAACACAAGCAGAGGGAGTGGGAGAGGGAGAAGCAGGCTTCCCGCGGAGCCGGGAGCCCGATGTGGGGCTCGATCCCAGGACCCTGGGATCATGACCTGAGCTGAAGGCAGTCGCTTAACCAACTGAGCCACCCAGGCGCCCCATGTATCTTAGCTATTTTAAATAATGCTGCAATGAACATAGGGCTGCATAGATCTTTTTGAATTAGTCTTTTCATTTGCTTTGGGTAAATACCCAGTAGTGGAATTACTAGGTCATATGGCATTTCTATTTTAATTTTTTGAGGAACCTCCATACTGGTTTTCATAGTAGCTGTACCAGTTACATTCCCACTAACAGTATATGAAAGTTCCCTTCCTCCACATCCTTGCTAGCACTTGTTATTTGTTTTTTTTTTGATACTAGACATTCTAACTGGTGTGATGTGATACCTTATTGTGGTTTTGATTTGCATTTCTTTGATGATTATTAATGTTCAGCATCTTTTCGTGTGTCGGTCATCTGTATGTCTTCTTAGGAAAAATGTCTATTTAGGTCCTCTGCGCAGGACTTGATTTATCTTTATTTTACAATAAATATCATTATCATACTCAAGATAAAAATACTGTATAAATATCACCAAATAACAACTTTAAAGTTTATAATCATTTCCTAAATATTATCATTTTTAAGGTATAGTTTGTTGGTTTGAATCATGATGCAAATAAAATCCACTGGTTGCAATTGATGGTAATGTTAATGGTAATATTAACCAGTTATTATAAATATGTCCTTGCAACTTTTTTTATGTTATTGCTATTCTATCCATGTTTCTTTGCCTCAGTTTTTAGTTAGCCTCAGTGAATCTTGATAACCTTTAATTTTCTAGCACAATCTTAAATTTAAAAAAAGGTTAGAGGGATGACTTCTACCATTTTCTCTACACTCATATATTCCACCTTTATTTAAAAGGAAAAAATTGTGGGGGAAAAACATACATTAAAATCACTCTTTATAATACTTCTCAACTTTGTTAGAATATTTGGTGGTAGAATATTCCTTATGAAAGCAGTTTGGGAAAAGTGAAAGAGTTTTACACTTGGATGCTGGAGACTGTTCTCCTTACTATCACTGTATGATTTTTCTGAGGCTGTGGGCAAGTTACATTGTTTTCACTAGGATTCAGGAGTTATATGTGCAAATTGGAAGTAAGACTAAACTTGCTTGAAGGTAGGAGAATGAACTGCCTGTATGATTACTTACTTGAATTTGTTTTCCTCCAACTGAAATGCTTAACTTCATAAGATTCAGATTAAGTGCTTTCTTCTTCAAGAACGCCTTTTTTTTTCCTAAAGAGAATTTATCACCCCTTCAACAAGCTATTATGTTATTCTTTAGAACATGTCTAATTTTGATGTGTCTATAGCTGCATTCCTATAATATTTTTGCTTTTCTTGTTGAAAAGGAGTATGCATATCCAAATTTAGCTCTTCTGTGGTTAGAAATATGATTTAATTTTTACTAAAATTGCTACTCCATAATCTAATAGGTAAATAGTACATTTCCATCCCATGTTTATAGAATTGAAGAAGAGTTTGCCAGGATAGGATAGTGCATTCTAAAGACTTGTGTTAGACTTTAGTCCATATTTTCATATGTATCTACTCAGTTTATGGGTATCTATACTTACTTCCACCTGACTCAAGCCCATTTCTTGATCTTGAAAACAACACAGCTTCCTGAATTTCTGCCCTGGCTTTGCACTAAGCTGATGCTATTTATGTCATTTAATTGTAACATCAATACTATGAAATAGTCTTATATGTAGTTTACAAAGTAGAAAACAAAAGTATGAAGTGGTAATTTGACTACGGTCACACACAGCATATAAGTGGCCTAGCTAGGGTTTCAACTCGTATCTTAAACTCCCAAAGTCTTTCTATCAAGAATTCCAAAATGCCAAGCTATTAATTTATATTGAGAGGTATAGTTGTCAGAATAATCAGATTTGCATGTTCTCCAGTATCTGTTCTGAAGATTGCTTAGACAGTTTTAGTCAGCTGGCTCCATTTTGGACAATTCTAAGTTTTGATTGATACGTGCTTTGTTTAGCTGTTTTAATACTGTTTATATTTTTTAAGAAGACTTCATGATCTCTGATTTTATTTGTTTACTGAGCCATATGAAAATAAATAGTATAAGCACTTTCTGTTACAGGTAGTATTCTTCTCACTTTTAAATTCTTATGGGGCATCTCATTATTGGTATTTCTTTTTGGTATACTATTATTTCAGAGACTTTTGTTTGTTTTAAACCACTCTTATTTTGTAGTTTCCTAATTCATACTCGTAATTGTAGCTTTCAAATGATTAACGATCTCTAAACATACACACTTTCATGTTTATACTAACCCTATGATTATATTAACAAATAATAGACATCATTTCCTTTGTCAACACACACTACTCCCTTGGTGATCACATCCAATCTCATGACTTTAAATACCATGTATAAGTTTATGTCTCCCAGATTTATGTCTCCTGGCTGGACTTTACCCTGGACTCCAGAGTCATTCAAATGTCTGTTTAGTTTCTTCCTTTAGATATTTAATGGGGCCACAATGTTTAAAAAACCAAACTCCCAAGCTGCCTATCTGCTGCCCACCTCTTTTCAATAATGGTGGCTTCCACCCTTTAGTTGCTCAGGCTTTAAACCTGTAGTTATCTCTGACATTTTCTTTCTCACCGGTATTCAGTATATCAGCAAATCTGTCCAGTCAATTTTCAAATTGAGCCAGGTGCCCTGAAGCATTTTTTATATACTGTAGTTTACTGTATTATATTACAGTTATTTGTGTTTCTGGTTTTCTTTTAATTATTTGTATGTAACGATTTTGTATTGTTATTCCAAGTATCTTTATATACACTATTGTGAAAGGGTAGGTGTTATTGCACATTTAGAGCTTATGAACAAATTCAGGTAAGGCACAAAGCTAAAAAGCAATGTTGATATATCTGTGTCTCTTAAGTTTCTAGGAAAGTCATTGCACATTCAGACTGCAATTCATTTTATATAGAGCATGGGGATAGACTAGTTTAGGATGGTTAATTTTCCTACACAGCAGTGCTAACTTAAAACAGTTTACCAAAGGGCGCCTGGGTGGCTCAGTTGGTTAAGCGACTGCCTTTGGCTCAGGTCATGATCCTGGAGTCCTGGATTGAGTCCCACGTATGGCTCCCTGCTCAGCGGGGAGTCTGCTTCTCCCTCTGACCCTCCTTCCTCTCATGCTGTCTTTCATTCTCTCTCTCTCAAATAAATAAAATCTTAAAAAAAAAAACAAAAAACCAGTTTACCAGAAGTGTAGGTACACATTTAAGTAATAGATACTTTCAATAAAGCATTTGTTCTAGACTCTGACATTTGATTACATCATTTTCACAAAGATGCAGTGAATTGTGTAAGACTGTTGAGTCATAGACCTGTACCTCTGAAACAAATAATACATTATATGTTTAAAAAAAAAAAAAAGATAGTAGGAACGGGAAAATGAAGGGGGGGGCTTCGGAGGGGGAGACGAACCATGAGAGACTATGGACTCTGAGAAACAAACTGAGGGTTCTAGAGGGGAGGGGGGTGGAGGAATGGGTTAGCCCGGTGATGGGTATTAAAGAGGGCATGTGTTGAATGAAGCACTGGGTGTTATATGCAAACAATGAATCATGGAACACTACATCAAAAACTAATGATGTAATGTATGGTGATTAACATAACATAATAAAATAAAATTTAAAAAAATTTAAACTACAAACAAAAAGATGAGGTGAAGGGTGTATAGATTTATTAATTCATGAGCATGTTTTCTGTAAAAGTCATTACTTGATAATTTTAGTCAGGCTTTGTTTCGGGTAGTTTTGTTTTCCTACACGTGATCATTAGCATCTTTTCCCCCCACTCTGTCCCTGGAATATCTAGCAGTGAACACATGACTCTGGTTTTCTTTATTAGTAACCCTGTGGACCATGGACATCTCACTTACACTATTTTTAATGGGATTTGAAGCATGAGTCTTCCTCCACCACCAATTAACGACATTGTATTGGGATGTTGGAAAATATATCTTAAATACTGTAAGTTCTTTGAAAACCATGTGTGGTAGTGTATGGAAGGATCAACTTTTTTAGGTATCTGGTACATAGTAACTGCATGATGAATAAAGAAATAAGTTGTGTTGAATTGTGGAAAAAAATCTCTTTTTTCATACCTTGTGTTCTGTAGATTGAATCAGTTTGAGTTTGTCTTTGCTAATGGTTAGATTCAGGTTCTGCATATTTGGCAATAATACCACATAAATCTCACTTAAGCTCTTACGCAGGAATTCTGGAAGGTAGACCAGGTGAGGTGAGACTCCATAAGACGACATAGAAACTAGACATTCCCACTACATTGAAGCAGGTATTTGGGAAGAGATCCACTTGATATTAATAGAAGAAAGATTTCCTATCGAAGAAGTAGTTGGGGTAGATGGAGTAAGTGGATCATGTTCCATCAGGGAGACTGTGTGTGACCTGGATCAGTAAGCATTTAGAGATGTCTTCTGAACTAGATCTGTGCCATATATGTGGTCTGGTAGCCTCTTGTGGGAGACCCACCTAATGGCCTGGAATTCAAGGATAGCACTTCAGTCCCTGGGATAGACTGATAATTGTAGGACAGGTCTATAGCTCTAGAGGTGCTGATTTATTGGCTGGGTTACTAAGGTATTAGTAATGGTCTCTGAATTAAGGCAAGGACTCAGTTCTTAAGATGGCACAGTGTCAGAACTGAAACAGCTAAGCAAGTTTGATGTGGAACATCGTCCATTTCTTTCATTTGAGAGCACCTTGGATCCTTGTTTAGGAATGGAAATACACTTACAGGTGGCCTCACCTATGTGGCAGAAATGTGTAGGGAAGGGAGCCTGTCAGGTCACAAGTAATTAAAGGTTTATATATATATTATTACCCTTTAAAATAACTGTCAGAATTCTTAATTTTTAAATTCCCCCTACACCTTTGCCCCCCCTTGCCAAATTCCAAACAAACATATGATTTGAGTGGGATAAGTGTAGTTATATGTCTGAGACACGGATTATTCTCAGGACTGCAAAATTGTATCCTTTGTGTATAACCTAAAGATCATATGTATCCTGTTGCATTATTATATTCTCTCTTCTTACTCCTTTTATTAGGGTCAGTCTTTCTGAACATCTTTACTCTTTATTACTGTCTAGATTTGGGACATGGAAAATCACTCTTGGGATAATAGGGATAAAATAGATAGACCTTAGATAAGATCAAATGGATTTTTATGTTTTTACCTTTTCCCCCCTTTATGACCCATGCTAAAGGTTCCCAGGTGTGAGATTTCTGGTTTATTTCCCCTTTATTCATGGAGTTTAGTTCATACTATCTATATACTATGTATGTATAATAATGTATGTGTGTGTGACACACACAAACTTTTCTACGCATATGCAGGCTTACTTGTCATAGTGTTACTTGTAATTGTAAAAGATCCAGAATAAAATAAATGTCAATCAGCGGGTTAATGTCTAAAAAAAATTAATGTACATCTGTGCAATGCAACACTGCAGCTTTCAGAAAAGAATGAAGGTATTCTCTAGAACATACTATAGATTGACTAAAATATGTGAAAATAGAATGGTGCAGAATTGTGCGTAAGTAACATAAAATATAATAGATATGTGGAAATACACATATGCATTTAGGTTTTTTCCAATTTTTTTTTATTCTGGTGAAATACACCTAAGATTTGCCAACTTAACCATTTTTATGTGTATAGTTCAGTTGTATTAAATACATTCATAATATTGTGCAGTCATCACCATCTCCCGAACTTTATTCATCTTTTAAAAGTGTAATTCTAATAAAATAAATAAGACATGGGTATGCAATGTTGGGCATAGAAAATATAGTTAGTAATACTGTAAGAACTTTGTACAGTGACAGATGATAGCTGGATTTATTGTGGTAATCACTTTGTGAAATACATAAATATTGACTCATGTTGTACACCTGAAACTATTATAAATTACTGTACTTCAGTAAAAACAAAAACTCTCTATTTCTGTTTTCCCTAGCCTCTGGCAAACACTTTCTGTCTCTGTTTTTGACTATGTACCTTATTTAAGTGGAGTCATATAGTATTTATCTTTTGTGACTGGCTTCTTTCACTTAGCATAATGTCTTCAAGGTTCATCCATATTGTAAATTATGTCAGAATTTCCTTCCTTTTTAAGGCTCAGTAATATTCCACTGTGTGTATATACCACATTTGCTTATCCATTCATTCATCAATGGATACTTGGGTTGCTTCCAAGTTTGAGCTATTACGAATAATGTTGGTGTTTTGATGGGTGTACAAATAACTTTTTGAGACCCTGCTTTCAGTTCTTTTGGGTATATATGTATGTATAATTGGTTGATCATATGGTAATTCTTTTTTTAATTTTTTGAGGAACTGACATACTGTTTCCCATAAGGCCTATACCATTTTACATTCCCATCAACAGTGCATAAGAGTTCTAATTTCTCCACATCCTCTCCAAGAATTGTTTTCTCTTTTTAGATAGTAGCCATCTTAATAGGTGTGGGGTTCCATCTCATTGTAGTTTTGATGTGCATTTCCCTAATGATGAGTAACATTGAGCATCTCTTCTTGTGCTTAATGGCCATTTGCATATCTTCTTTGGAGAAATGTGTATTCAAATTATTTGCCAATTTTCAAATCAGGTTCTTTGTTTTGTTGAGTTTTAGTAGTTCTTTATATATTTTGGATATTAATCCCTTATCAGATATATGATTTGTAAATATTTTCTCCCATTCTTCCAACCTTTGCTCTTTACCCACTGAGTGGTTTGGGCACCCTTGCCAAAATCATTAAACCATATATGTGAGGGTTTGTTTCTGGGCTCTTTATTATATTCCACTGGTCTGTATGTTTGCTTTCATGCCAGCACCATGCTGTTTTCATAGTGTAGCTTTGTAATAAGTTTTGAAGTCAAGAAGTGTGAGTCTTCCAGTGTTTTTTTTTTTTTTTTTTCCGAGATTGTTCTGGTCATTTGAGATGCTTTTGAGATTCCCTTTGAATTATAGAATGGGTTTTTCTATTTCTGCAAAACAGATCATTGGGATTTTGATAGAGATTGCATTTAATCTGTAGGTTGCTTTGGGGAGTATTGACATCTTAACAGTATTGACTCTTCCAATCCATGAACGTCCATTTATTTATTTATTCTTTAATTTCATACACATTTCTTTGTTTATATGACATATAAGGAATGAGTAATAGTGTTTGTCTCTTAGGAAAGTAGATTGTGGATTGAGGGCAGGGGTGTGCAAGTTTTCATTGTATAACTTTAATCACCTTTTGACTTTTAGGCCATGTGAGTATGTATTACTTATTTAATAAAGAAAAGTAACATTTTGGCACCTTTCTTCAGATACACACATACGCATGCATACACACACACACACACACTTGTGTGCATGCACAATACCTAGAAAATACCTGTTCCTCCAAAGAGTGAGCACAGAAACAAGACTTACTAGGAGGAGCCAAAATCAAGAGTCCAGCTATAAAGAATGAATGCATGAAATGATGATGTTTTTAAGCGACTTTAAATTTATCAGTCTGTAAAGAGAGATCTGGTGTGGTAGATGACTGAACAGGTAGTAAATGATCGCCTTACTTTCCATGCTTAGGAATTTGGATTTTATTTTATTTTATTTTATTTTTTTAAAGATTTTATTTATTTATCTGAAAGAGAGAATGGGATACAGAGAGCATGAGAGGGGAAGGGTCAGAGGGAGAAGCAGACCCCCCACTGAGCAGGGAGCCCGATGTGGGACTCGATCCCGGGACTCCAGGATCATGACCTGAGCCGAAGGCAGTTGCTTAACCAACTGAGCCACCCAGGTACCCCAGGAATTTGGATTTTAAATTGATGGTTACTGAGGGTCACTAAAGATCAGAGATTAAACAAGGAAGTAATGGGATTATGTTTATATTATAAGAATTACTGTGGTTATAGTATTGGAATAGTGTGGGATCGTTTAGTAGAAATAGGATGTGAGCCACATCGGCAGCTTAATATTTTCTACTAAATTACAAAAAATGGGTAATGAAATTAATTTTTATATATCTAATGTTATTTCATCATGTAATCACTATAGCATTATAAGTGAGATATTTAATGTGCTATTTTTCATTGTAAATCTTCACATCTTCACAATCTTGTGGATATTTTATGCTTACTGAACATTTCGTGTTTGACTAGCCATATTTTATATGCTCAGTTAGCTACATGAGAGTAGTGCTGCCATGTTAGATAGTGCAAGTATAGAGAATCAGTCAGTGTATAGTCAGGAGACAATATGTATTCTAGTAATTGGAACAGAAAAATTTTTTTTTTTTTAAAGATTTTATTTATTTATTTGAGAGAGAGAGAATGAGAGACAGAGAGCATGAGAGGGAAGAGGGCAGAGGGAGAAGCAGACTCCCCGCTGAGCAGGGAGCCCAATGCGGGACTCGATCCCGGGACTCCAGGATCATGACCTGAGCCGAAGGCAGTCGCTTAACCAACTGAGCCACCCAGGTGCCCCGGAACAGAAAAATTTAATGTGAAGAATTATTAATTATTTAAAAGTCCTTAATCATTTGTCATCCAGGAATCACAAATTAAGACAACAATAAGATAACAACTCTATACCTATTAGAATGGCTGAAATCCAAAAACGTGAGAAGGTTACAAAGCTGTCAAGCTTACAAAGCATCAGGGCTCTTATTCATCACTGGTGGGAATGCAAAATGTTATATCTACTTTGGAAGACAGTTCGGCAGTTTTTTTTACAAAGCTAAACATAGTTTTATCATATGATTCAATAATCATCCTCCTAGATGTTTACATAACTCATTTGGAAATTATGTCTGCACAAAATGCTGCATGTGAATGTGTATAGCAGCTTTATTCCTAACTGCCAAGAAATGGTGACCAAGATGTCCATCATTAGGTAAGTGGATGACAAAATGTGATACATTCATACAATGGAATATTATTTAGAAATAAAAAGAAATTAGCTATTCAGCCACTAAAAGACATGGATGAATCTTAAATGTATATTGTTAAGGTGAAAGATACAGTCTGAAGAGGCTGCATACTGTATGATTTAATTGTATGACTCTTTATAAAAGTCAAAACTATAGTTATGATGAAAGAATTCATTGTTTGCCAAAGAGAAGTGGGAGGGTTGAATGGGAGAAGCACAGGGATTTTTTAAGGTGGTGAAAACTCTTCTACGAGATAACATATTTACATACATGACACTGTGCATTTGTTTTGTTTTTTTTTTTTAAGATTCTATTTATTTGATAGAGAGATAGCGAGAGCAGGAACATAAGCGGGGGGAGTGGGAGAGGGAGAAGCAGACTTCCCAATGAGCAGGGAGCCTGATGTGGGGCTCAATCCCAGGACCCTGGGATCATGACCTGAGCCGAAGGCAGACGCTTAACGACTGAGCCACCCAGGTGCCCCGATACTGTGCATTTGTTAAAACCCATTGAACTTTACGGAAAAAGTGAATTTTATAAGTATAGATTTTATAAAGTCATTTAGGAGGTTAGGTGGATACCAGGATGGAATGTAGAATTTAACAAAGCAGTCTACCTCTGAAGTGTTTGAAACAATGTCACTGAAGGGAATTGGGCAGGAAGTTGCTGACTTAAGTAACTTTGGAAATGAATCTGTAAGACTAAAATCAAAGAAACTACATTGTATATGTAAGCATTGTAATCTAGTTAATAAAATTGTTTCTGCTGGGGTATGATTGAACAGTTCTAATATTGCTATACTTGTATACTAGTGGGTGCCAGGTTTGTCACTGTTGGGGTGGGACCATATCGATTAGTAAGGGGAAGATGCATTCATATGGTAATGGATTAAAGTTGGAGATACTAATATGAATTTATATTTATCTTAATACAGATAATAGATTGTTACAGACAGCAGTATTTATAGTTATTTATATGTATATGGGACATGTATTTCTTTGTCTGCTTAAGAGTCTAGAAGCAAGGACACTCCATATCAAGGAGCAAAACCTAGTGCCCAGATCTTCATCTCTAATATCATTCTCCAATAAAAGGAACCAGAGCTCCTTGGAGTATTGGATGGTTCCAAAAATTGAGGAAGGGAATATACAAGATGAGCCTGCAGAATATTGTGCTGCCAGAAGGTAACCAGTAAGACATACACATACACACACACACACAGATGGGTATATGTGAAATGGATGCAGGAGCCAACTAAAAGATCTCCCAATGGCCAGAGTTGAAACAGGTTGAACAACAGAACTGTGTTGAATTATAACTCAGGGTATAAAAGAAATTTTGATGAGTCCACATTTGTTTAAATGATTGAATGAATGAAAACAGACATATCTCCCTTACGAAAAAGTTCTAAATCTGTGTAAATACTCCCCTGTGAAAGAGGTGGAGAATAACTCCCCACCCCTTAAATGTGGGATATATGTAGTATCTTTCTTCCAAAGGTACAGTATGGAAAGGGGTGGAAAAGTAACTTTACAGTGGAGAAACCTGACAAACACTATCTCAATCAACTGATTAAGGTCAACATTCACAGTGATAAATCATGTTGATAGTATATACCTTTGATATGAGGTGAAAAAAAAATAACACTTTATCTCTTACATCTTCTTCTCCAAACCCTAAATTCTGGTGTAGTGGTAAGAAAATCCCATCAGACAAAACCCAGTTGAGGAACATTCTATAAGGCCGGAAATCCTCACAACTGTCAAAGTCACCAGAAAACCAGGGAAAGCCTGTCAAAGCCAAGAGGAGCTTAGAGAGACATGACATAAATGTAATATGGTATCCTGGATGGGGTCCTGGAACAGAAAAAGGCCATTAGGCAAAACTAAGAAAATCTGAATAAAGTAGGGACTTTTCGTTAATCTCTCAATATTGGTTCACTAACTGTAACAAAAATGTACCATACAAATGGTAAGGAGTTAATAATAGGGTAAGTGGATGTGATGTATGTGGGAATTTTCTGTACTGTCTTTACAGTTTTTTGGTAAATCTAAAACTGTTCTAAAAATAATGTGCTTAAAAATAAATAGTAAATTTATTACATATTAATCCACACACAGAAATGATTATAAGATTGTTAACCAAGAGGAGTTGAAAGGGTACTATGAAGAACACAAGAATAGAAAGTGAAGGGAACAAGTATAATAAGTAGGGAGGGAAGACCCTACATACTATACTATACTTTGTAGTATTCCTTCGGTGCCGTCTAGTTACAAAGCTGAACACTGCAGCAGAAAACAAAAATGTTTACAGATCCAGCTCCAGGATCACAATGTGGGACAAACAAGGGTAGATGTGGAGATGAGGAATAAATTGATTAAGTTGATAACCGAAACAGGCTATTTTGAGATTAAATTAAATCCCTCAAAAGAGAGTATAAAGATTGAGAAGAAAAGATGTTGAGCAGAGACTGAAGATAACCCTAACTGGTAAGAAATACAGGGAGGGGAAAAGATATCTGAAAGGAAAGGATTTCATCCTGTGGCCTATTGATAGAGTTTCAAGACATGTCTATTACATTTAGCAACACTATCATTGGTAAATTTAGTAAAGCAGCAACTGTGATGAGTTTATAGATGAATGAAATTTATGGGAATAATAATAGTGACTGCAAGCGATTCTATCAAATTACCCTTGGCTGAAAGGTTAGACATAGATAAGGTGGTAGCTAGTGTTGACTTTTTAAAAAAAAAATTGAGGGCATGGGATGGGATGTTAATTGAAGAGTGTAAATTCCATCAAAGGCAGGAATGTTTGTTCAGTTTGTTATATTTCTAGTACCTAGAACAGTTTTACATATGTTCAACCTATTTTTGTTGCATGACTGGATAAAAAATATTTGAGGACTTCTATAGAGAGAGAAGTTGAATATGCAACATTTCCAAGTAATGTTTTATTGAATAAGGTTTCTGAGGGAATAGTATTGAAGAAGGTATAAAGAAAATGTCAAAGAGGACATGGTTAAAATCTTCAGCATTGGCATTACTGTTGTGCAAAACACTAACTTTTTTTTTTAATTTTCATGCATTATATATAAATTACACTTTGCTGTTTGCAGTTTGTTTTTAATTACTGAAAACAAACTGTAAAGCTTCCTTTGGTCAGGAATTACATCTCTTAACCTGTAGTAGTGCTAAGTACTTTTCACAGGATGAAACATAATTGAGGTATTCTGCATAAAGCAAAGTGTACCTGTATTTAATTTAATTTTTTTCCTCATCTTTTTATTCAGTCTACAAATAAGAAACCTCGAAAATCTCCAGGAGAGAAGAGTAGAATTGAAGCTACTGTTAGAGGAACAGGCCGTGGAAGAGCTAATGGGCACCCTCAACAGAATGGTGAAGGGGAGCCTGTCACACTATTTGAAGTGGTGAAATTGGGGAAAAGTGCAATGCAGGTAAATTTTAAGTGTTTTTGTTTTGTTCTGTTTACAAAGCAGTACTGTCAGTAATCTATGTGGAACCTGTTAAGTGACATTTATATATTCTTGCTGATTTGTAATCAAGAAGTTTATCTTTAAAATTTTTCTTTGTTTTACTTACATACAGTATCAGGAAAGGAATTTTGTTTAATGGTAAAATGCACTTTACAGTGTACTGAGTAAAATGACTTGTGTATAATAGCTGCCTGAGAGAATTTTTATTGCCTTAATATATTTTTTAGAATCTGACGTAATGTAAGTAACATATGTGTACTGAAGAATATTTCAAAGAAAGGGTATAAAAAAAGGAGCCTTAAGTAATAGAACTAGGAATAACCACAGTTAATACTCCATGATTATTTTCTGTGTGTATGTGATCTTTTATAACTTTATTATTCTCTCTTCTCTCTCCTCATTCATTTAATAAATATTATTAAATATTCTGCAAGAGCACATAATTATTGGCTTCTTACTAATTCATTATAAGGATAAACCACTATTATTTTACTATTCTTTTAGTGTATCTTTTCATTTTTTTACTGTTACAGAATTTATTCATTATTTGTGTTTACTTCTCTACCTCTTTTTTTCATTTTAAAACACTAGAGGTAGGGGCGCCTGGTGGCTCAGTTGGTAAGTGTCTGCCTTTGGCTCTGTTCATGATCCCAGTGTCCTGGGATTGAGCCCCGCATTGGGCTCCTTGCTCAGTGGGGAGCCTGCTTCTCCCGCACCAGCTCCCCCTGCTTGTGTTTCCTCTCTTGCGGTCTCTTTCTGTCAAATAAATAAAATAAAATCTTTAAAAAAAACCCAAAACACTAGAGGTAAAATTATTTGGTGAAAGGGTATTTCTTATGAGTGTGATACATAAATCTATTACTCTCCAAAAAATTTTACTAGTATATCTTTCACCAGAAGTGTGCCTAGCAACTGGATACTTTATATTTAGGAATTAATTGGTAACATAGGTGAAAAATTGGATTTATTTATTTATTTATTTATTTATTTATTTATTTATTTATTTGGTGGGGGACGGGCAGAGGGAGAGTGAGAGAGATATCCAAGCAGACTCCACAGTGATCATGTAGCCCAACTCGGGCACTTGATCTCACAGCTCTGAGCACCACCTGAGCTAAAACCAAGAGTTGGAGACTCAAAGGACTGCACCACCCAGGTGCCCCTGTAATTTATTATTTTAATCTGCATTTCTTTGATCACCAGTGATTGATAAAAGTTAAATATTTATATTCTCTATTTGCTCATTTTGATAGTTTATTTTCAGTTTCTTTAAAATTCAGGTAATTTATGAAACAGGTTTACTTTTAGAAATTTTCATTAGTATACTTTTTATTTTTAACCTTTATTTCCTTTTGCATTCCTTAAGGGAGTTCAGTGTTTACTGCCTTTTGTGTATGTTACCAGATTGATACGTTCAGGGGCCTTAGAATTCATGTGGGAAGGGAGGGAGGTGGGGCAGTATGATGATGCTAATGGTAAAATAAATAACGAAATTTCCAGTTATTTGAAGCAATGGACAGACTGTAAGTTATGTAAGTATAATTTTAAAATAATGACCCTTAGCCACAAAGTTTGACAGGTTCTTTATTATACTTTAGTAGAAAAATTGTTACCAAGTTATAGGTATCTTATTTTTGAGGTTTACTTTATGGCTTTCCACCTTTAAGTGGATACACAAACAGAAAAATAAAGGAAGTTTATTTTTTATTTTAATTTTATTTTATTTTTAAGATTTATTTATTTATTTTAGAGAGAGAGCATGCATGCTAGCATTAACAGGGAGAGGGGCAGAGGGAGAGAATCCTCAGACTTCTGCTGAGCGCAGAACCAGACAAGGGTCTTGATCCCGGGACCCTGAGATCATGACATGGGCCGAAACCAAGACTCAGATGCTTAACCGACTGAGCCACTCAGGCACCCCAAGGAAGTTTGTTTATTTATTTATTTTGCTTTTATTATTTTTAATTTTTTATTATTTATTTATTTATTTTTATTCTTATGTTAATCCCCATACATTACATCATTAGTTTTAGATGAAGTGTTCCATGATTCATTGTTTGTGCATAACACCCCGTGCTCCATGCAGAATGTGCCCTCCTCAATACCCACCACCAGGCTAACCCATCCTCCCACCCCCCTCCCCTCTAGAACCCTCAGTTTGTTTTTCAGAGTCCATAGCCTCTCATGGTTCGTCTACCCCTCCGATTTCCCCTGCTTCATTCTTCCCCTCCCGCTACCTTCTTTTTTTTTCTTAACATATATTGCATTATTTGTTTCAGAGGTACAGATCAAGATTCAGCAGTCTTGCACAATTCACAGCGCTCACCAGAGCACATACCCTCCCCAGTGTCTATCACCCAGTCACCCCATCCCTCCCACCCCACCCCCCACTCCAGCAACCCTCAGTTTGTTTCCTGCAATTAAGAATTCCTCATATCAGTGAGGTCATATGATACATGTCTTTCTCTGATTGACTTATTTCACTCAACATAATACCCTCCAGTTCCATCCACGTCGTTGCAAATGGCAAGATCTCATTCCTTTTGATGGCTGCATAATATTCCATTGTATATATATACCGCATCTTCTTTATCCATTCATCTGTCGTTGGACATCTTGG